CGTGCGTGCGTGCGTGCGTGCGTGCGTGCGTGCGTGCGTGCGTGTGTGTATCTTTGCAACCGTAAGAGGTAGACACTTCAAACTTGGTCTACATGTGCATCTTATGGAGCGCCGGAAACCTATTGATTCTGAGTGACCTTGACCTTATTATCATATAATAATTAAGTATATTGTAATTAAGTATATTTCCAGCGCTGGGTCATAGCGGAAGGACCGTACCATTGCTAACACGGGGCGGGGGTTCCAGGCGGTATTTCCAGGCTTGTGGTGTGTGGCAGTGTGTTCACTGTGGTGTAGAAGAAGCCAGTTTGTAGTTATGCGTTTAGCATGCACATTACACATTTGCAGGATTCATACAAATATACACGTACACAATTTTTCCATTTTCATTGTTTTAATTGCTTGTACAATGTATTTAGAGGTCTAACTTTCCTCCTTGTTCATGTAGTTAAATGTGCATTAAGTTACATGTGCATGCAGCTGCTTTGTAAGTTACATGGTATGTCTGAGTGTGCATTTCTGTTCTATTAGAATTAACAAATCCATGGAGCAAAAAGTCATTCATAAATAAATGACATCCCACAATGAATATCATACATACATGCACGTAAACATCCAAAAACAAAAAGCAGAGGCAGATAGTCGATCGGTTCAGTACAAAAAACAAACCAAGGTCAACGTCATCCATTACAAGTAGCAACCTCGGCCTACAAAATATCACCAGGGCCTTCTTTCTATTGTGTAAGATTCTCGTAATCGCACTCAGTACAACCGTAACTCGGGCTTTCCGTGTATATCATCGTATGCGGAGGATTCGCACTCCCCGAGTGCCTTCTTTCTATTGTGTAAGAATCTCGTGATCGCACTCAGTACAACCGTAACTCGGGCTTTCCGTGTATATCATCGTATGCTAATCTTGCAGTATCGTGTGCGTCGGTGGCGACGGCATGTATGCGGAGGTGTTGAATGGGTTGCTGACCCGGACTCAGCGCAGGCACGGCGTATCGCAGGACTCCATGAACACACACCTAGTGTCGCCGGACATGCGAATAGGAATCATACCTGCAGGTGAGTGAGAGCGGGAGAGAGAGAGAGAGGGAGAGAGGGAGAGAGGGAGAGCGGGAGAGAGGGAGAGCTGGAGAGAGGGAGAGCTGGAGAGCCGGGGGGGAGGTGATCGCTGTGTACACGCTACGAACCCTCATCACGTGGCGGGAGAGAGGGAGAGCGGCAGAGCCGGGGGGAGGGGGGTTGATCGGATGGATGAGTAGATATCATGCAGTCAGTTAGCGGGTAGCTGTAGTTTGCTGTGTCTGTATCTGTCAGGGGCAATACATGTTTGCGCAGTTGTCGCGCGCTGCGTCACAGCGAAGCACTCATCCGGCACCCTCATTACTATTCATGACCGCGTTACTGCTGCTGCGGCTGCTGCTCACTGCCGCCGCTGCCGCTGCATGGTTACTGCTGCTGCGGGCGGAATTCACGCCACGATCGCAGGCCGCGCTCCAAGCTGCGTTAACGCCGTGTTGACGACTACCGCGGCGATTCGTCACCCAGCGTTTCCGCGGCGATTGCTCATACTCTCGTCAGCGCTTACAGTACGGCAGTAGGTGACGGGTTACGGAATGTCCGCCGCACGTCCGCTGATGCTGCTTGTGGCTTCGTCATGCAGGGTATTGATCAGCGGTGAAGCAGTGTGCCTCGCGCGCAGGCTGTGCCGCACGTTAGATGTGTGAGGCTGGCATCGGGGCCTGCCGTGTTTGCGACGCAGATTATACGCCCTGTTCACTCAGAAGCGCAGGCATGGCAGCCGCTGATGCACCCGCCGGTGTGCGTGCGTGCGCGTGCGTGCGTGCGTGTGTGCATGCGTGCGGTAATTGATTTCCGAATTGGCTTCAAGGAGCCGCCTGTCGTCAAAGCATTTCGATGCACGGGGAACCGTATGAAATGCGGTCGTTCGGTCGGATTAGGGACATGGTGGATTAGCGAGGCTGATGCAGGCCTGAAGTGGCCGGTGAAAACGCCGCGGCCTGTGTGAAAGCATTCCCGTACTCATATCTATAACTACCAGCCCACGGACTCACAGACACACTATATTGTTTATGCTCTGTCTGTCTGTCTGTCTGTCTGTCTCTCCCTATCTCTGTCTCTCTCTCCCTCTCTTGCCCTCTGTCTTGCGTTCTCTCACTCTCTCTCTCTCTCTCTTTCTCCCTTGCTGTTTCTCTCTCTCTCTTTCTCCTTTGCTGTTTCTCTCTCTATCTCTCTTTCTCCTTTGCTGTTTCTCTGTCTCTCTCTCTCTTTCCTTTGCTGTTTCTCTCTCTCTCCCTTTCTCTTTTTATTTCCCGCTCCCTGTCTCTCTCTCTCTCCCTCCCTCTCTCTTCCTTCCCCCTCTCTCTCTCTCTCTCGCCCACTCTCCCTCTTTTTTTCTGCTAGTCGCTTCTCTGTCACCTTGGTTAAATCTTGACCTTTACCACCGTATCGTTTTATTACCTAGCTTGTCACGTGCGCCGCCTCTCCTACTCCTAGTCAGAGAGATTAGGTTAGCGTAAGGTAGTTACGATATCTGAGTGACGTGGTTGTTCGTAGTCGTAGACTCTCAATGCTCTCATGTGCTGCTCTGCGAAAAAAGATTCCCATCAGCCTGCAAGTGATCTAATGTATTCGCGTCGGTTCAATTGCTCCTAATATGCGATCGATGCGCGCGTTACTGGCTCGCTCCACGCCGCGTCGGCACTAATGAAGAGAGGAGCCTGCGAAGCTGACGCAAAGCACCAGCTGCTATGTTCTGATATTCTCCCATTCATGGATTATGTTATAATACTCTGCTGGTAGAGTAGAGTAATAATTTGCTGGTGGCTGCATTAATGTTCAAATTTTATATATATATATATATATATACATGTTTAAGTTTAAAATGTTAATTGATGTATAGTTATTATTAATGATAATTAGATACATGCATTTAAAATCTTACGATTCAATTTGTCTGTTTAGTTAACTGACTAACATTTTGTACACACTGCTGTGAAGCAGTATTGGTTATGGAAACATGCCACAGCTACAATCATTATAGCATTTTTCTCATTGTCTACTCAGGTTCTACTGATGCTGTTGTATATGGGACAGTTGGAATCAACGACGCAATCACATCTGCCCTACACATAGTTATAGGTGGGTTGGCTAAAACCTGGCAGAACTGAGGTTAACTCACGAGGGTTACTAAACTATTGTCCTTTGTTCCCATCTTTTAAAAGTTATAAAATACTCGTGACAGTCCTAACGAGCTAGAATAGACACTTCTAAAGTATTTGAATAGAAAATAAAGTATACTATGTATTATATAGAAAATATTCTATCGTGATAGTTATGATATGATGTAAGAAGGAAACAGTGATCCTCTCTATTGACATTTGAGTGTCATGTAGTAATAGACCGTGGTTCACACTTTTTTCTATTTATAGACATCGACGAACGTTTTGTTGTGAATAATAGACAATTTTTCACGCTGTTTCAGGAGACAAAGTAGCCATAGACGTCTCCGCCGTGCACCACAACCACAAGCTGCTGGCGTACTGTTCCTCACTGCTTGCTTATGGTTACTATGGCGACGCAGTTGTAGACAGTGAGCGCCATAGGTGGATGGGACCGAAACGTTACGATTATTCAGGTGACGAAATATTCCAAAGAAATTTACTGTAGAGATGTATGTGTTTGGGTGAGGCACGACTGTACTATGCATAATCTCTCATAAAGGGTACAGTAATAATCTCTTGCTATATCAATTTATTCAGATAAATGTTGTAATGGTTCTACTCCTGTAGCTATATATAAATTCATGTTGTATATTGGTGAGATTGTTCTGCGTATGATCTCGTACTGATGGCAAATCAATCTCTTGCAGGGTTCAAGAAATTTGTGCGGAACATTAGCTACGAGGGTGAGGTCAGGTTCCTGCCTCACGAGGACACACCTGGCAAGCTAGATGATGGAACAAGTTGTCACTCAGGGTAAAGTATCGTACGCATCAACCTGCTCCGATTCCCTCCTGCCACTTGTTACCTAATTATTCTTTTTCAGTTTACTTTTGTAACTATTTTTCCTGTCATTTTGGTTGTAGGTTCCATCTTTTTCTTTTCTGAGCACATTCAGATGGCAATGGTGGGCTTGGAATTAAACTGACATTTTAGTCATTTCGAACCATTCTATTTCGTAAGTTGTGAAATACAATTTTACAAAGCCCTCAAACCCGCCTCATAGCATAGGTAATCATGTTTTATCACATGCACAGGTGCACAGTGTGTCAGCAGGCAGGAGATAAAGCACGAAAACTGCGCAGTGAAGATGTATCATTCGGTATGTACAGCATCTATCAGTGAAACTGATCTAAAGTGTTTAGCACACAAGCACACAATGTAGAGTGCATATAATATATATATATATATATATACATGGCTAAAGTTATTAATTGTAATGCCCCTGTTTCGATGCTAACTTCAGAGATTGTGATATCGATTTGTGAGTGTCACAACATTATGCGGTCCCACAATGAAACCATTTTCTGCGTGACTGTTGGCTGTGCGGTGAACTTATTTGCCATTGTTGTTGCTGTAGAAAATGGGAACTGGCAGACAATATCGGGACGTTTCTTGGCAGTCAACAGCGTCACAATGTCCTGTCTGTGTCACATGAGTCCGAACGGACTGTCACCCTTCGCGCACATTGGTGACGGATGCACCGATCTCATCTTGGTGCACGACACGTCGCGATTCAATTACATGCGCCATCTATGGAGGACGGCAACAACTAAAGGTCATCCAGTAAGTTGTTGTTAAGTAATTGCTTTGGTTGGAAAAGAAACGTTCTTTTTTAGGAGATCGTGTGCATGATAATGCAACTTATAGTGTAACTCGTGTGACACAACGTAATGTAAAATCATTTGCTTATTGTGTTGTTGTGATTTTCAGCTCAACATGGGATTCGTTCAGGCATTTAGAGTAAAAGCTTACAGCTTTCGCCCCCTGGTGGCAGGCAGCCTATCTACTCTCAATTCCACCGGCAATAACTCGAACATGGTCTGTCAGGAGGGACCAACAACCAGTGTATGGAATTGTGATGGCGAAATCATAAAAGAACCAGCAATAGACGTCAGGTAAATGCAAACTGTAGGTTTGCATTCTAGAATATGTTCTTATTTCAGTGGAGGTTAGATAGTGACTAGCAGCTGAATCCTTCAGATTGTTGTAAGAGAGAGTGAGAGCTGTAACAGCATGTAACCTAATACAGCTCAAGAACAACAGAAACATCGGTTAATTTATACAAACAAACAAATACGTGCCGTACGACTTAACATCAGTTCGTGTTTGTAACCCACGTACGTCTCTATAATCACCATCTTCGATGCCTAGAAGTGCGTTTGCTACCATTTGGCACATCTTCATTTACTGCCAGACATACACCATCCTTCTTGCAGGGTTCACTGTCAACTGGTGAAGATTTTCGGACGTGGGATTGAGGAGGAAGATGACAGCTCTTGCACAATGTCCTGTAACCCTAGGGCATCTACCAAGTCCCCACCGATATAGCCTAGCATGCTGTGACGAGTGACACAGGGTGATGTACAGTTATATACAGACAGGCAAATGAGTCCGTGATTAGGAAATAGATGGCGTGTGATAGATACTACTTTAACAGCCTACATTGATACAACAGGGTACGTAGGCACTTGTCGCACATACTTTCGTTTTATGGTCGCGCAGTTTTGTTGTTTGAGGACAGACAGATGAAGACTTTAAAGTAGGATAGATTGTGATGTGATAGACACTGCTGTCCGGTGCTTCATGCTACGAATATTGTTTAGAAACTTACTTAGGTGCTGGCAACTTAAGGTTTAAGGTTGGCATTATTGCGGGTATATGTATCTATAGATGTTCTACGATGATAGGCAAACGTTAATTAATTATGGTGTGACAGTAGTGGCCTTTAGTGGGCGGCTAATGGACCAGTGGTAGTAACTAGCATTAGTCCCACCAGCACGCAACGTGCATGACACACCCGTAGAGGTATTACTTGGATACCTAGTTCCTCCATGTACAAACCGGCGTGAAATATCGTGTTGCATAATCAATCGACGTTTTTTCTAGACCATGTTGATATTAATACTGAACATATCTTTAGCTGATTGTACGTACTGTGGGGCCACGTATTATTATTCTATGTATCGTAGTGCCCCAAATGTTCGTGCATATTTTATACTGCCATTAAATAAAGCTGCTTCTAGATGGAGTTGCTACATAGATAGCTTCAGATACGCCAAGTAAATGTGATGAAATCGGAAGAGATTAACAAAACTATAGCAGTCACATGAACTATGGTTTAGGCCAGTTTCAGTGGGTATAGAAAAAGGGTATTTATCTTACTATAAATTGGAGATTTTCAGATTAAATATAGGTCGTTTTTGTTCAAATCAACCTTTTAAAAAGTAACTGTAGAGAAATGGCTACTAATCTATGTGATGTTATATCATAGCAATTTAAAAATGCAGTGCCCCTTGTAGTGTGTGTAAGGTGGAGATCGAGTATTCTATTTGTATGGTGATCACACTAGCTGTGTGACTGTGCGAGTACTATGGGGTAGTTTTATAAATATAGTTCGCGTCAAACTGCTAGAAATCCATTCCGCTTTTTATACGATATTATACAAACAAGCGTCTTATCAGCGTATATAAACTAGCTATCGAGCATATTGTTAAGCATAATCAAGAGTGGATAATAGATATTGTATGTCTAATGTCTACTCGTCATATATTATATATACCGGTAACGCATATGTGTGAGATTGAGATTATTGTGTGTGGAGGTGTACCACGAGTGTGCACTCTTACTTTATATCTGTTATAATAGTGCAGTATACAGTTTCCTATTTCTCAGTAGTGACTTCACTGTCCCACTTCATTGAAATTATCCACGTCATTCTAGGTTCTAGTCAACAAATGACAAAGATTTGTTCGGTTTTATCTTGCTCATATTAGCAGAACAAAATGTTAGCGAATAAGTTGTGCAATAACGTTAACATTTTTAAATTAAGGCGGTATTGTTTTAGACAATGCGCAATTATGGTAGCGTAATGGAAAGTGAGGCGAGTGACCGTTGTTGCCACGATATCAGGTCGGAATTATTGCCTATTAATGATCTTTAAGCAAGCGACGGTGTCTATTGCACTAGCTTGGCACTTAACCACGGTGTTGATTGACGTCTGAGCATATCAGCTGAAAGGTAGACGTGTACAAACCATAGATTATATGTGAAATGTGTGAGCATACTGAATCTAGCAGAAAACAAGCATAGCAGGTATGTAAGGTACGCAGTGACACACGTGTGTGTGAAGATTATATTGGTATAGATAGATGGAATTTTGTTACGGCACAAGGTGCTGTACATGTGGTGCCGAGAGAGCGTTGTATCTCTAGTCGTTACTTTAAGCTTGCTTGCACCTGTTGGCTGCTATTAGGGTGAGCGGTTACAGATGTTGATTTTGACAGCGGTGGATGTTTATTTATGATCAATGCAATCGCACATAACAGGCCCGTTTTATTTCGATTGTTTAATTTATGTTTGTAGCGTGCGTGTTTAAAAATTGCCATTCTCAACAAGATCACCCATAATTAATTATATTCATCTATTTTAGATGCTATTGTATAAATGAAGCATAACGTATGAATAAAGTATTCAAAGTAGAATACGATGTTTGTTTAATTGATATCCTGTCGTGGCTGCAGAATTGATGGCAAATGCATGATTCTCTTGGCTAGTAGTTGAAGGATAGTATGGCGGGAACAGTACTAGTGTACAGTCCACGAAGACTACTATGTAGTGATTACAACCGTTAGCAACCGTTGCACTGGAGAACAACACGTGTAAGAGTTGGATATGCCTGTTATTGTTACGATCATTGTATAACCCAAAGTACTGCAACATGTCCATATACACCTTTGTTAGCGTAGATCGTTGTGGCTATGCAAACACAAGTAATATACCTCCACCAGAAGATATCTACCAGTAGAAAAAAAACAAGTGTACTCTAGAGTATCGTTAATTTACAAAACGACTTTATTCTCGTCCCATAACTTGATCGATCACACAGTTCGTTCTCACCCAGCGTCTCTGTCATGGCCACCCTCTCGGCCCACGGCCACATCCAATACATCACCGATGTGAGAAAAGATGAAATGATCTAAACATTGACGTGTCACTGTATATGTAGCAAGCTGTAGGGGAGAGCAACTTCACGCTCGATGCAACACCAAGCACGCTGCATTCGTCGTCACCCTTGTAATGCACACACGCTCGCTGCACAAGACATGTGCATCAGTAAGCAAATAAGCAGTAGCAAGCCGGATATCCGACACATTCTCCTCCTCCTCCTCCTCCTCCTTCTACCACACTGTCCCCCGCTGCGTGCGACGACGTAGAAGTGTGAAAGAATATATTTACAGACGATTATTTACAGAATTTTGGAATTCGAGAAAAGTTTACAATCACTGACTGCAATCACGATTTATTGTAATGATCGTGAGAAGTATTCGTTGTTTCCCACGTCCGCCCCTCACAGATACTATAATATATCGATAACCACCCGTGTTGGTAGCCACGAAGCTTTAACCCAAGCAAGGAAAATCCTCCCACCAACTAAAGATACAATTCAAACCTCACTGATCATGATAATATTCGGTTGAAGACGACGTACAACGACGGAAGGCCACCCTTACCCTCCTCGCTAACAGGCCTGCGCGAAAAACATCACAACGTTCAATACACAATTACTGACTAAGAACTAGCATAAAGAAATCCAGCACACACTTTACAGCAGAGGTGGATCCCAAAAGACAACGACGACTGTTACAAGAATGCGCAAGTGTCCCGCAGTGAACTCTACACTGCGTGAGAAACATATACAATCGCTAACGACGCCGCAGCACGCATTTGATGAGGGCGCCACTATGCGTTGTCGTTGAAGCGCGCCTGCATCATCTTTCGCACGGTGTCCTTGTAGGTGTCGCCGGCGGTAACGCCGTAGGTGCTGCCGCGCGCCCCGAGTCCGGCTGACACGTGCCGCTGCTGCGCCTGCAATCATGCGAGCGCACGGTGACAAACAAGTGCACGTTCCAACGACAATAATAACCAAGCTTCAGTTCACGTGATACTAAAACGCTGGTAAGAATACAGACAGGGAGAGAGAGACAATACGGATATAGAATTATAATGTTAACAGATAGTTGAGAAGGGGACTGACTAAGTTGACAGGGGAGTGACTAGGTTGACATAAGGTTGACAAACAGTTGACAGGGGAGTGACTAGGATGACAGATGCTTGACAGGGAAGTGACTAGGATGACAGATGTTTGACAGGGAAGTTACTAGGATGACAGATGTTTGACAGGGAAGTTACTAGGATGACGGACCAATGTCCTCTGCACACACAGGTACACGGCCGCGCACGTGCGCACCCGCTACGCATTTCCTTATATGACATATGCTATATCGCCGCTCAGTAGGGCAGTTGTTTGATGGCGGGTGTTGATTCTCTTGCACGTGCAGCCATATCTTCATAATGCACCGAGGCACTGTGACGATTCCCACCGGTTCTACATTCGGTGTGCGAGCATATGCCTTGCCTCATTTATCTACTCGTGATCATGCCGGAATAGGAGATGGCTTATCAGGACTGGGTCAGAGTGCTAAACGGTGCTCGAGTTACGCCGGTTGCTGCCGCATTCCCAATGCACGCAAGTTTTTTGAGATGCCTTGGCTACTCTTTTAGTGATCAAAGTATTTTGTCCTATACCGGTACATTCAGTGACTGGTGGCAAGTGGTACACCAGATGTTCATTACAGCGCCTGCGTTTGAATAGTATATGCAGTAAAGCGGTGAATTTACCTGAACCTCGGAGTGCCGATGAACAACATCAGAGTCCACATGAAATATGTTGTTGCGTGCAATCTCGCGGCGCTTAATAGCCTGCGTTATAAGCCTGCACCTGGCTGTAACTCTCATTGACCGTACGCGCACGCCCACCCGCTGACTAAACCTGTCCCGGAAAAATCGGTCACCTTCGCTACTATTATCTATTGCAATAACACACTACTACTTAAGCTATGTAAAACTCGGTTGATTGTCGCAGATCGCGCCGAGCTTACCGAGACTGGTATCGCTCCACCTCTCGCCTTAGTTACTCGATGGATGCATTGGACCCCATGCGCAGTACTAAGCCGAGACGGTCGGGCGAGCGGTCGCGTGACCAGTCTACAGATTAACACGCCAGGTTCACTCTATTTTCGGTATGGCGGCCCGGCATCGGGTTGTAGGTCATATTCGCTATTTTTAGTCCAGCTCGCGTAACCCTCTTAAGCGCTCTACCGAGAATTATGGAGCATACTCTGTCTAGATAACGCTATTTAGAATTCGTTATTGTTAATCATTAACGAAAGACTGGATTCACACCAGCACCATTCATCAGAGATCCTCATTGTGTGGATTTATGTGTAAACTCATCTATGTGATTTATTTTAAAATTTTAAAACACGCTGCCTGGCAAACCATGAGATGGAGGCTTCCAGTGGCCGCCGTCTTCGGCTGTGATGCTTCCATTCACGTTCGGTGCTTCTCCTTTCCTCGAGTTTGCGCAGTGTCACGAGCCGCCTATGCTGCATCTCTATGATTCTGCAAAATGGTTTGCAAAAGATTCTGACGCTAGGCGGGGTTAGTATATAACATATATATATTATATATAATGTGTCTATATACAGTTACGGGCGGTAACCAACAGAAATGCTTGAAAAGTCGTTTGCATCTATATGTAGCTGTGTGTGCAGGCAATGTGCGTTAGGAACATGGTGTGGTGTGCGTGCAGCAAAGAGGTTGATACATGTATGTGTGAGCAAAGATGCGTTAGATACTTTTGTGGCAGCAAAAGGTAGATACATGTTATGTGGCAGCTAAAGATGGTTAGAAACATGTATGTGTGCAGCAAAGATACCTGATGCATTTGGTGCCGGATGCTGCTGGCTATGGGCACAGGAAGAGGCGAGTGAGCTGATGTAGCCGCAGTGCTGCGAGTAGCTATGTGCAGCAGGATGACGTGCGAGTGAGCTTATGTGCGGCTCAATGACTGTGAGTGAGCTACGTCGAGCAATGGACTTGGTGACGCTATGTGCCGCAGGAATGACTGTAAGTGGAGTATGTGCGCAGGAATGACTGTGGTGAGCGTAATGTGCAAGCA